ATAGAAAACCTTTATTTTCAAAACCTTATTAATATAAAAGATTATATTTGGATTTTCTTGAAATTCTTTATTTTAAATGGCCAAGAATCTTATGCAATATTTCTAAAAATTTCTTTTTACATATAAAGCTAGGTTGACAAGATTTATCTAAAATACTTTGAGATTCTTGTTTCTTGATCACCTTGCTTTAACTTGACCTCTTGTTTTCTACAATTTCTTTGGCATCATCAAAATCCTTTACATACGTTCTTCCACAATAAATACTCAATTAATGCTCAGAGAATTTTAATATATGAATAAATAACGCAAGTTTACAATCATAAATTTAAAACCTTGTAAGAATCAAGAGTTATACCTACATTTCTTCATGAGTTTGAGTGATACTAGTCTGAATCTCTTGAGCAAAGTCACGTTTAAGTCTCGTGAATAAAAAGTAAAATGTGGTGAGAAGAAAAAAATTCTATTAAAAAATCAATTATATTATCTATTAGTCATTAACAAAATTATAAATATGACCAATAATATATTTCAAAAAAAAGTTATGATACATCTGGCTTAATCATACTTCAATTCCTTTTTCTTATTAATTTGGATTGCGTGTAATTTTTGTTTTTCAAAAATTTATTTTGGCTAATTATATATATATATATATATATATATATACATATATATATATTTCTATTTAACCAAATTTAGTATAGTCATCAACTTTATTCTACATAAAAATACACTATTATTTTTTATCTAAATATTTTTATAGAGTTTATATTTAAGATCTAAAATGATTTTAAAAGTTTTTTTTGACACAATAATTTAAGAAGTTAGACATTTGGTGACAAATTAATTTGAAGGATTGTTTTGACCTGAGATTTGGTTTGGAAAAGTAAAACAACTTGATCAATTTTATTTTGGGTGAAATTTAATGTTTTTTTGTTCGTGGGTTTTGAGTATAAGAAGGCTTAAAATAGTCCAATTGATTAAATAATAGAAGATTTCGTGTAAAGTATAACTACTTGAAGTGTTTAGCCAAGAAAATTGACAATATATATAACCAAATTTATATAATTTATTTAAATGAGATTTAATTAGTTGAAAAAATCTTAAAAACACATCACGGGGATTGAATCTAGAGAAAACATAATGAATTAAGACTTAAATTCTCTCGTTGAGAGAAGTACTTAAGTTTAATGCTCAACTACATCTTGATCAAGATTATCTTTGAAAGAAGATACAAATAAATAAAAATAAAAATAAAATCTTAAGAATCAAAATTGTGCATATATTTTGAGTTAGGTAAATTTCCTAAAAGCATCCATAATGAAGCAACTCCATTTGGGTATTTTTAATGGGACCTACTTATACACATCACTCATTTTTTATCTTTTCTATATAAGCACTTTTAAGCACTTCATCTCTACAATGAAACAACTCTCTTTGAGTGCTTTTAATAGGTCTTACCAAAAAACTTACATTATTATATTTTATTATGAACTTATTTATTAATTTATAATTAACTAATTATTTATTTATAAATTAATTAATTTTTACAAAATAACTAATTATTTTATTTTATTATTATTTAAATAATTTGTTGACACAATAAAAAGAAGTAGTAAAATTTATGAGTTGGGTAAATTAATTGGGAGAATTCTGGAAATTTGAATTTGTAGATTGTCGATAATTTGGTATCAAACTAAACCATGGATTTTGGTATGAATCCATAGAATGAAAATAAGAAGTTTCGAATTTTTTGACAGTAATAAAGAAAATTTTGAGATGTTTAGTTGTATAATTTTTCTTTTCAAAAATCCTTATTTATATACAAATAAAAAATAAGTAATCATTACATCTACAATGATATAAAATAATAAAAATTATTTTTTAATATTTATTAGTTGATTTGTACGTTATTAATTAAAGCAAATTTATTCAGAAAACACTTCAATTCAATTGCTTCCAGCAAGTTTACGAAGGTGCTCAAATAACAAGTTTGATTAATTAGGATGAAAAGGAAGAAAAGAATTGCACATATAGCTCAAACTAAAGATAAACGAGCAATTAAGTCAATACATTATTACAATTTCAGTCAATTGTTTACGACACGTAGAGCATTTGAAATTTGAATGATGCAATCGGCCGGAATTATAATTTCAATGTTAGTTCTGTTATAATTAAAATTATTTAATACACTAAAAGAATGTTTCAATTTAGAGTTGGCCAAAAGTCGACTGTAAATCATAAAAGCCGATGCAATATTGTCGGTTATTCGTCAGTTTTTAGCTGACGCTAAATAAGTCGACACAATTTTTTTTGTGTCGGCTAAGCCGTCATTAATAAATTTATTTATTTTAATTTTTTATTGTCGGTTAAGACGACACTATGTTGACACAAATTTTATTTTATTTTTTTCTTTATCTTCTTTTTCTCGCTTATCATTTATTCGTTTGTATTTTTAACATTCCTAGGACTCGATCCGTGAACCTTGAGGTCTTAAGTGAACTTGATAACCAAGTGTACTAGAACACATTATGCGTATATAACATTAAAAAAATTATTTTTATCTCTCTGAAAGCACGTATATTATTTAAATATAGCATCGGCTTTTTCGACACTAACTTAATTTAAATTTAAATTAAATTAGTGTCGGAAAATCCGACGCTATATTTAAAGAATAGCGTCGGAAAAACTGACGCTAAATCTTAAAATAGCGTCGGCTTTTCCGACACTATTTACGTCAACTATTAGTCGATACTTATTTTCCGCCGTTTATTCAGCGTTTTCTTGTAGTGATAACTGTATATTTCATTATATGTTTAGTTTATGTAAGAAATGAGTACACAAGTTTTTATTTATTTATTTTATCATTAACTCCAATTCTAATGTTTATATAAATATATTTATAACTCTAAAATTTGATATTTAAATTAATGACAAATCTTTTAATTATTACACGTTTCACATAAGTCATAACATACTAACAAATAAATAGTTTAAAATAACAATATAATCATTAATTATTGAAATATAATAACTTAATTAATTGTGTTTTTTTGACAGTGATTTAATTAGTGTTAATTAGTGATGTTTAACTCATTTTAACGCCTCTAATTAATTAAGGATAATCAATGTTTGTGTTAGGTAGAGCTAGCTACTGACAAAAAACTGTTCTAATCAATTAAATGGGATAAGGTTGATTCTGGTTTACTTTGGGTAGTCTTCTTCTATGTATTTGATTATTTTGCTTATCCTATCACTTTTCAAACTTTGAACCTTTTCACTCTTTGATTGTAAGTAAAACAATATCGTTTAAAAGTTATTTTATTTTAAGAATGAAACGACTCCTGCCTTGGCCGAATCAGTCTAATTAACGAGCTATTTTTTTTTAATTTGATAAAAATTAGCTGAATTGAACCGTGTTGAAATAATTTTAAACATATATGATGATGATTCGACATTGCATACAGACAGGTGATCTGATTAGATAAAGCCAATCATTCTAAGACGAGATTAATAATTACGCAGCTTGAAATATTAAATATTTTAGCAGTATTAGTTTCCGAAATATTATATATTAAAATAGATTACGCAGGAATGATGTATGATTTTTTTGTCATGTTGGGGAAATGGAAATGAAAAGGAAGAAAGCAGTAGGCTTCCAAAAAACATGTGTTGATGTAAAGCATGTTTCATGTGTTGGAGGTGGTTTTGATTGAAAATTAGCCATGATGAAGATTAGGATTTAGAATCAGAAAATGGCAAATGGGCAAATAATGATTGGGAAATAAAACGAAGGAACATGAAAATATTAAATGTACGTAGGTAGCAGCATGCAGTTGATTGAGCATATGTGTATCGGAATGTAGGTTTGCCGTAAAGTTTTTATTATATAGTTCCTTAAATGGCCCGCAGATTAATTTGGTGCAGGGAGTATTAAGTAAAACCTAATAAGACTGTGGATTGAATGTGGTAAGTTATTGAAGTGCAATTGCGCGTGGAAAAGGCATATTAGGATGATGATGCGGTCCCATGCAAAATGGAGAGATGAGAGGATGGGTGGAGTACTTTAATACACCAATTAATAAGAATTAGATGGCAAAAATTGGACCACCTCATCTCAATTTCACTCCCTTGTTTTAGGAACATTTTACACAAACCCAGGCGCATCTATTCTTTCTCTTTTCACACCCTCTCTCTATTCTGTAACACAACACAAAACTCTGATACACTTTATTATTATATTTCAGGAACACAACAGACCCTGCCCCACCAACACACTTCTCTTGCTCTGAAAAAGCCAGTAAAAGACTCCTACTTAGGATCACTTCGATCTTGGGATTCGTTTCCCTAC